TTCCCAATGACATCAGCTCTCAACTTGGCATCTACGCTGACGACAATACCATTTACCTCTGCTTCGATGGTTAGGCTGATCAGTGAGACAAAGTCAAAATTGCAGCCGATTTACAAAAGGACTTTAAGACCGTCGTTAACTGCCGCAAAGGATGGACTGTAAATTTTGACGCCTTCAAAACTGAACTGCTGTTCATTAATCATCTGAGAGACTCCTCTCTGCCTTCCATCAGTATGGCTGATGCTATCCTTCAAGAAAGTGACTCATTGCGCTTTCTCGGGCTAACGTTCTCAGCTGACATGAGGTGGAAAGATTATATTGAATCCATTACTAGGTCAGCTGTAAAGAAAGTCGGTTCCCTGTGCTGTACGAGGCAATTTTTCTCTCCGGAATCTATATTGAACAGTCTACCATTTGTCCATGCTTAGAATATTGCTGCCATATATGGTCCGGTGACCCTGCTATTTTCCTGGATCTCCTCCATAAGTTCCAAAGAAGAATCATCAATAATATTCGTCCAGATGTCATAGCTCGGCTTCAGTCAGTTGCCCGTCGCCGTAACGTTGCCTCACTGTGAATTTTATAGATAATTTCATGATAACTGTTCTGATGAGCTCTTCATTGTGGCACCTAGACTGGATGAATTTAAGCGCAATACTAGACTGGCGACGAGATCTTATCAATTTACAGTTGAGCTGGCTTTGATGTAGCCGTAAGTTCTATGCTAACAGTTTCTTATACCGAACACCTCGCCTGTCGAATTCCCAACTGACTCCATGCTTTCCAACCAACTTTAATCTACAAAAATTTAAACGCAATGTCAATTGCTATCTACTGTCCTCTTGCTTGATCTTTTCTCTTTCTTCTCATTAATAATGCTTTCTGCTCCTAATTCCCCCACATCCTGTAAGACTTTGTGTTCTAGTGGCTGTACTGCCTTCGTTGGGGTTATACAGATATGCATATATATATATATATATATATATATATATATATATATGTGTGTGTGTGTGTGTGTGTGTGTGAGAGAGAGAGAGAGTGTGTATGTGTGTGTGCGTGGGTGTGTACATATATATATATACTTATATGTACATATGTATATACATATATATATATATATATATGTGTGTACATATATATTTATATATATACATATATATATATACATATATATATGCATATATATACATATATATACATGCATACATATATATATATATACATGTATATATACATGCATTATATATACACATATATATATGCGTCACATATAGACATATATATATACATGCATTATATATATACATATATATATACATGCGTTACATATAGACATATATATATATATATATAGTTTATACATATATATATATATATATATATATATATATATATATATATATATATATATGGTGGCGAGTATGTCTATCACTGACAAGTCCAGCCGTTCAGTTAACCCCCTCCCACAACAATGCATTCATTCGGTTGTGTGAACGACAGTGGTTCATAAAGCTAGACATTGATCTGCATTTCTTAGAACATATGTGGCATATCAAATCATCTCCGGGTGGTTGAAGTTGACTTTGATCATCATCACTTCCAATGTGCTTTATCATATGTCGTGTCAAGCTCGACCCGGACTTGCACACCCTAGTGCAGGCCTGTAGTGCACACTCTAGTGCAGTAGGCTGTTTCATGCTAGACACAACTGTCCAGCATGAAACAGCCTGTCGCCTTTGTTGACTTCAATGTTCACTTTTATATTTATATACATATATATTTACATGTATATATACATATATATATATATACACATATATATACATATATATATACACACACATATATGCATACACATATATATACAAACATATATATACACACATATATATGTACATACACATATATATACATACATATATATATATATACACACACACACACACATACACACACACACATATATATATATATATATATATATATATATTGTATTGGAGCAGCAGATCATTATTGAAACATATATTGTTAAATATAACAGTAATGAATGTCTATTATGTTTTATGATGAGCCGTTCCAAACACCGTATATTTGCTTTTTGAGTGAAAATAAAATAAAAAATTGTCCAACATTTGGATATATTTTATTAAGCTGTTCCTTGATCTAAGCTTTCGTCTCACTCTTAAGATGGCTCATGTGATAATCCATACGCAACCGTCATATAACCTGACGTGCTAGACCATTTAGCTCTGAAACTAAGTGAACTAAATGTAACTCTAGTATACAGGTTCGATTCCTTTCGGACACATATTCTCTATGAAATTTCTCGAACATTCAGGCCGGTAAATGTTGTTAATGCTGTTTATTATAAACAGACAATTTACTTTAACATTTGTATCTATAAAAATAATATATAAACTGTATGTTAAAATAACTTTCGAACTTCGCCTATTACATATATATATATATATATATATATATATATATATATATATTGAAAGGATTTTATATCCGACATTATTTCTATAAACGTTAATTTTAGTGGGTACACGTGCTTGAGTAGCTCTCTTTGTTTTGTTTTGTTTTTTGTTATCATTAAACAGTGAAATTAATGGCAGTTGGCCTAAATTCAGAACCCCTCTAAAATCCTACTGCCGACAGGAATTGAACCTAAAACACTTTTTACCTCAGGTATACTTTGGTTTACGAACTGGTATTTATCTATACGGAATATGTGTTGAGGTAATGCTAGTATGTTTGGGTAAATATCTAGAGGCACCATTATGTTGTGGGGATCAACACTTTGGAGAGTAAATATTTACGGGCTCTTGGAAAAATATCCCCACGAATAATATTGGCAGCCTGAATCTTAGTACTTTCTCTAAGCTGGCGTTTTTCGTGATTAAATCAATTTCATGAAACCTTTCCATTTGTCAAAATTTAAAAAGTTTATCGGGATTTCTGCACCCTTTATGCTATTACTACACATGCGCACGATAGTTAATAACAAAGATGATGGTGAGAAAAAGGAAAAGAATCTAGATGAAATTGGATAGATTAAAAAAAAATCTTTCTAAATTTTGAAACTCTCTCATAAGTACGCATGTGTAGTCACAACAATGTTAACAAACCCGGTCCGATGAAGTCCGAAACGGATTAAACGCGTCATAAAAACTTTTCCCAATTTGTCATACATCATTTCTTTCAAAACTGTTCTTGATGTACAAAAAAAATCTATATAAAAATTTATATATCGCTATCGCATATATGTGTGTGTGTTTGTGTTTGTGTGTGTGGATATAAACTATGTATAAATAATATTATTATTACGATATTATGTCACTGAGTATAAGAAAAGCGAAAAAAAAGTACAGTCATGTGATCAGCTTACAATAAGCCTCCAAAATTGTTATTGGTTATGATGTTTTAATTTTAAAAAAAAACTCTGTAGAAATATTAACCAGTAAGAATTTTTTCATAATATTTTCTTGATTATACTTTTTAAATAAAGCAGACACACATAAAATGTCACAAATTTAAACAATCGATCCCAGTTTTTCTTTTTTAATAGTTACGGAAACAGAAATGAGCCGCCACTAAGTATGAAAAAAGAATTCGGGATTCATTTACCGCAGAAAAATAATACAAGCCAAATACACTGACCGCCCTCCAATTTTAATTTTGCTGGCTGACTCATTATTTGTTATCGTCAACTGCAGACGGACTGCGCGTGACATGAGTGCGGAATACGAAAAATGCAGGCGTTCCTTAAAATGTCGCCCACGTAATGTGACGTCATTGAGGAGTCGTCTCCCATTTTTTGTCCTAACTGCACTGACCTCTGGTTAAGAAAACGATCATTTAAATTCGGTCAGTCGGTTGTGGTCGAATCTATTTATGGTGATTTTCTAATCTTAGCACGGATGTGCCACAAGACCAAATGTATGGAGCACCTAGCGAGGATCGAACTCACTATTCACTCGTAATTGATATAGCGAAACAAGCTTGCTAACCTGTTTATAAAGAGAAAAAAGGCACTACTAGAGAATCGTACTGTCAGCGCTATGATCAGGATAATTAAAAGAAAACATCGTTCGTCTAAGGTCTTCATTATTGACATATCTTCTGTTGTCTTTTGACGAAGTTTTAAATAAGATAGATACATATTGAAAGCTTTTCAATAAATAATGTTTCATATTATTAAGACATATTACACAAATCTACATAGTGTAGTGGATAACTGAAATCTTAAAAAAATGGGGAAAACACCTACGTTACGCCTTTCATCCTTCGAAATGATTTCTCCAGGCTATTAATTGTTTTATTGACGGAATCTTAAATGTAGGCGGCATCATGTTACATCGAATTGAGAACAGCCTAAAAAATAGTGAACAAATAAAAACACCGAAAATCAACCAATAAAAATTACCTAATAAACTTACCTAATAACCCATCCTAACAACAAAAGAAAAACCGGAATGCTCATTGGATTGACATCCATCATCGCAAACAATTCAAATAGTATACAAAAACCTCCAGATCCGTTATGAATGAATTGATCCTTGTTTATATAAATTTCTGCCGTATTAGTTGTTATTTTTACTACAAGCTTTCGTCTGTTCCTACAGACATCTTCAGGTATAGAATAGATGTTGTTCTTGTTTTTTTCTCTTAGTAATAAGAGGACAACGAAAATATATGTGTTGTTGTATCTGAAAATGCTATTGAAAATATATATATATATACAGTAACCTTGACCGATTAGACTTTTAGATGCCGATTCGGTTCCTCTGATTACAACATCGTTGTTTTCAATATTAAATGTCGCCACTGGGCTATTGCGCCGGTTCCAACTGTCATTGTTTTTCAATTCAGTTATCATTTTTTTTTTACCCATCACTGAAGGAGATGATATAGATCCATACTTTTCCCCTAAGAGTATTTGCGCAAAAGTTAACGTAACGACCTCGCCCAGAATTTGAACTAGGTACGCCGATAACCGCTTGTCCACAAGATAGATAGATAGATAGATAGATAGATAGATAGATAGATAGATAGATAGATAGATTGGGCCATTGCACCTCGCTTCACCTACTAGACACCTTAAATTTTAATGAAATTTCAGTAACATCTATTCTAGATACTAATCAATTCTGAAGATCACAGCTTAATTGAATAAATGATCCATAAGTTATGACAAATTGAAACAGGCTTAAATTCTCAATTCTCATGCCGCAAACCATAAAGTATGATTTTGCGAAATTTAGCATTTTATTCCTTGGGTATTTAAGAAAATATAAGGGTGTAATTCTGTACATTTGTAGTTTTTCACTGGAGTTATTTCTGATTTTACTTTAACTATTTTCTCAGTGATTTCGAAATAATTGGTCTGTAGAAGTTAAAGTTTCTGTGTTGAGTGTATATTGTAGGTGGAATGCGTGTTTACATCTAAATAATTAAAGAAGAAGCATACAAAAACTTGGGTTTCTTCCCTGACCGTTTATTCTTTATTTAAATATAAACTATAGTGAAACAAAGTTCTCAATGTCTCTTGAGTATAATCTGTTTCTTTTTTTCATGCAGAAGTTAATGGTCGAGCTCAAGTCAGCCTTGCGTGGAGTTGGAACAACCTTAGAAAAGGTTGATTTACCTCATATGTGGAGGTTTTGGAAGACACGTGCGAATGCCATGGGTTAGAAAGTGAAAAGTGAAAGTTCAGTCATCAGTGAACCGGGAAACGAACGTGCCCCAAAGAGGACGTACTTTTCCACTTTCTGCTTCGTCTTGGAGCAAGGAGGAGAAAGAGTGAGAAAGGAAAATGTCTGCCTTTTATAGGTTTAACCAGCGCCGCCTAACGGCGTCTGATGAAGCCAAACGGGGTAATCATATTTCATATTCTTTTACTACTAAAATTATGGGAAAATGTATTTCTTTTTTTTATTATTCATTATTATTTTTTTATTTATTTTATTTCATTTTCCTTAACAAGTGAGGGTATCGTTTTTGAGAGGTGTTTAATCTTTGAGCAGCTGTAGGATGTAAACTAAGGGTATTGAATTGTAAATTGCACTGAATTATTTCTATTTGTCATACTGCGTTGTGTAGAACATTGAAACGAATACTTTTGTTGAACAAAACATAAAACCACTACAGTAAATTCTACGTGCTCTTACGTGAGAGAGCATGAGAAGTAACGTAAACAATTGAAAAAAAGTCCAAGATACAAAGGCAGCGTTTAAATGGATATCTCTATTTTTAAACAAAAGCATGCATACAATGGTCGAAGCTGTTGAAGACTGTCTTATTTTCTAAATTAATTAATAACTGCGTTTTTGTTCCTCCCGACATTATCAGATATACTATCTTTTTCTGTGGGAATATCCGATCAAGTTGCTTGAAAAAAAACAAAGCAAATCTATTCTTTTTTTGTTTTCTCAATATTTTTCTTATTTTACGATTCAAAAGATATGTTAATTCAGACTCATATCAAATAGAACATGAAAGTCGCTTAATGGCTTTTCATACATACAGGGCCGGTGCAAATGTCTCGTGACCCCCACCCCCCCGCCACCAAATCTATGATACAGGGCACCCATAATCCATGATACAGAGCAGCCAACTCTACTACATCTCAATTTTTATAAGGTAGTATTCATATAAAATACAAATTTTATTCTAAATATGTACAATAATGGATCATATTCAAAGTAGGTGAACAATTCAACTAGAAAAATTGAAAATAAAAACAATGTATCTAAATACGAATTAGAAACATAATAACATAACAGATCATCATAACATAATATTATAATAACATAATAGATCATCATAACATAATGTTATAACATAATAGATCATCATAACATATCATATTAATATAATAGATCATCATAACATAATATCATATTAATATAATAGATCATCATAACATAATATTATAATAACATAATAGATCATCATAACATAATAGATCATCATAACATAATATTATAACATAATAGATCATCATAACATAATATCATAATAACATAATAGATCATTCCATCATAAATAAATCAAAAATTTATTGAGGCATTTTAACATCAACTTGAGATTTTTCTTGTTGAAAAGTTGAATAATTTTAACACATTCACTATTGTGTGTAAAAAATAATATATATTGTATTTGTTTTTTTTTTTTGTTTTTTTTTTTTTTTTGACTTAGCATGAGTAAAACATATTCACGGATTTGAACGAAAAAAAACGACCTCAGAATGACGTCAAAATCGGTGAAAGATTTTCATCCTCAGCTGTACTCAGTTGAATTTGTAACGTATATAACTCTACATAAGAAAAAAAAAGCAAATGTTCATAAGATACTGAGAGTCACAAAGCACTGTCAGGGGCACCAAATCATGCTTAACACCCCCACCCCCGCCCCAGTCGGGGGGTTATACATCAGCCCTGCATAAACAATTCTCAACATTTTTTTCCGTTTCGGTCACTATGCCTTCCGGACATCATCAGGCACCTGCCGATCCGGGTAATTTTCAAGCAATTTAGAACTTATTTAATGTACGGAGGTAGATTGTTCTCGTTCCACCGACAATGTCTAGAAATATTTTCTTTTAATCAATTCACTCCAAGCAAGGGGATAAAAAAGCAATGACACTTAAAATTAAATAAATTGAAGTAGAATTTAGAAGAAACCAGAAACCCAGTCCCAAACAGGAAACAAGTGATAAACCTCTACTCCTGTTCAAAAAACCGGGGAGCAATTTGAACCGGGTGATAGGAAAACCTATCTCCTCCTATCTACTCTACCCTAGCTCTCATTTAATATTGCTCAGTTATTGCTTTAAAGCTTCCTCGTTACTCACATACTCCGTCCATGGTATAAAGATGAAGCATGTGAGCAACGAGAGAAGGTTTAAAGAAAATGGAATAAAATAGGATACCTAGGGGTCAGAAAGAAACACTTGAAATTTCTAGGGCACATAATGAGGAAAGAAGACTTCAGAAATTTAACACACATAGGGTGTATTGCAGGCAAGAGTGGAAGAGGGAAACAGTGGGTAACCTACCTAATGAATGTTTGTAAATGGGTGGCAGAACAGGGAAGAGGATAGTAAAAAGACAAACATTGTTAAGGTCTACAAAGGAAAGGAAACTGTGAAGGGCCGTGATCGCTCACGTTCTGAACGGACACAGCACATAGAAAGCTGCGAATAATTGGATAGAAATTGTGAAGGGTCGAGATCGCCCACGTCCTGAATGGATACAGCGCATAGAAGCCTACAAATAACTGGTTAGAAATTGTGAAGGGCCATGACCGGACACGACACGTAGACTGCGAAAAATTGGCTACGTCACGAGATATATAACCATTAGAATGAGTGAAATTTTCGACGTCTTTATCTGATAAAGCCTACCCGTGATAACACTAGTATCATAAACCGCTTCTGTTCTCACACTTTCCCATCTACGTCGTCAGATGCAATCTCCTTAACCCTGCAGACATATCTTGAGAAAAAAACAAAACTTTCACTTGATCATTTAAGAAAAGAAGCACTTGTAAAAGAGACACGCTCTCAAAGAGGTCATCATTGCAAGTTGAGTTCAAGCGGGACTGTAAATCAGACTGTATGACTTGGGAGTTTAACTTTAGTCTATGCTCTGTTACGAGGCTATGCACACATTAAGAGAAAACTTGCTTCCAAACAAGGACAAATGAGTTGCTTCTTGAAAAGGTTTTATAGAGTAAATAAATGTAAAACATGGAACTAACAAAAACTGCAAAAAGACTATGTTTTTGATCGGAATACACACTTGGAATTCCTTCCTGAGATACCAAATGTATACATGTATGCTGTCACAGATATAAACATTCAAAGAGATATTAAACCTAGCCTCATCTGACATATAGCTATAATGCATTACACAAACACGCGCGCGCGATATATAACCATAATATAGTACACACACACACACACACGTGCGCGATATATAGCTATTATATAGTACACACACACACAAACGTGTGCGATATATAGCTATAATGTAGTACGTACACACACACGCGCGATATATAGCTGTAATGTAGTACACACACACGCGCGATATATATACCCACAATTTTAAATAGGATGTACACCTTATTCGAAAATGGTAAAAATACAATCAAAATTTAAGACAGTTGTTTATTGAATTCTTGGTATATATATATATATATATATATATATATATATATATATATATATATATATATAAAAAAAAAATATAGTTTTATGGTATGGTATGCTTATGGGTTTAAGTGCTCAATATCAAGGATTGAGCATATTTAAATAAAACTGGACATTAAGTTCATCATCCAGCGGCGACAGTCTGTTTCATGCTTAAACGCAATCGTCAGTCTATGAAGATTGGGTTTAAGCATGAAAGAGACTGTCGCCGCTGGATAGTGACCTGAATGTCCACTATATGGGATTAATACAAATATAAAATTTGGCATTTTGCGGATTGATGTAATATTCATCAACTCTACTTCAAAGTTTCGTAGACGAACCTTTGTGTAATCGTTCAGTCAGGAGGGATATAAATTTACATATATATATATATATATATATATATATATATATATAAGGAGAGAGATTTATACTTATTACGTACAAATATTTACATGTTCATACACACACACATACACATTATATATATATATATATATTAATATATATATATATATATGTATATTAATATATATATATATATATATATATATATATATATTAATATATATATATATATATATATGCAGGGTGTATCAAAATACTTTTAAAATCATTGGTTTCCTCAGACCAAAACAAGGACAAAATTCCATATAAACATATGTCCGCAAATCCTTCGTATTTTGAGTTATTAAGTTTAAAGTTTTACAGTAGACGCCGTCAAATGTACAATCTAAGGTAGAATCCAAAAATACTTTTACAAACTTTGGTGGCGGGGTGCTGTTCCTGACACCAAAACAAGGCCACCATGAAACGTTGATGAAGCAAGCATCACTGCATTAGTAATATCTGCAGCATAAAACAATTTTATTAG